CGGTGATGGGCAGTCACGATTGTTAGGTGGCCTGTGGCTGGGTGTTCCCCTGCTTGGTAAATTGTCTCTCGCAGCTTGCACCAACACAGCAGCACTCGATTTGCTGCATTGCCTCTTCGAGGCAAAGTGCCCCGCAGCAAGGGCCGGCATTCGATGCGCTGCAAGGTCCTTAGCACATGCTTTGGCAAGCGATGCTCTGCCAAACGAGCTTGACGATGATGTCCACATGGCCTCATCCAGAGCTTCGTCGGACATGCAAGACATTTCGGAGGAGGTCCCGGATTTCGCTGACGGACCTGTGCCGCAGGCAGATGACGGCGGTTTTGCCCAGGATTTTGCAGGCCATGAAGATGATCTGGTGCCATCTTGGGCAGAGTTTCACCACGAGCTTTTTCAGGAACTGGCGCCCTTGCTCCACTGTCAGAAGTTTTGTTTGAACTAAGCACGAGCAGTCTTCTTTCCCAAAAGGATGGCATGATGTGATGATGACGTGGATGTCAGGTTGTTTCTTGGGTTGTTTGGCGTGGGGTTGTTTGGCTTTGGTATCTCGAATGCTCTGATAACTGATACTGTAATCTTTTAGCGCACGCGGCAGGATTAGCGCGAGCCGTCGCCAAGCGTATCCGATCGGTGCAATCCATTGTAAATTCCAACACACGGGCCGCCTGTGGCCCGGAAGTGACAATCCACCCTCTCGGGACTAATCGTGGTGTTGTTTCCACAACGCCGTGCGGTGCCGCTACGATTCGGCTTCTCCGGCAAGTGTCGGCGCGATCCATTGTAACTTCCAGTACAGACGAGCCACTTGCTGGCTGCGGTCCACGAGCCGCATGCTGGCCTCGAAGTGGTAACACCATCCATTGCAAATTCTACCTACTACCTCGGCCGCACGCTTGTCTCGAATTAACAACCCTCGCGGCGGACGGTGGGGGGGGGTTCCTGGTCATGTGCGTGTGGATTGGCATTGCTTGGGGTCTCGAAATGTATGTACAAGCGTTTTGTACAGGGTTAAGAATGACTGGACGACTCTCTGCTGTAGGCGCTTTCATGAGGGTCTCGAGTTGTTGTCGCGTTCGTAACGGCTTTGGGATGATCATCGGCAGTCTGAGGCTTGTCCCATAGTGGACAGTGTCCACGCACCGGAGCTTGTCACCCTTGCGAATTTTGAGTCGAAGGCCAGCCTCCTGGCAGAGCAAGCAACGCTCCACTCGCTTGAAGCCGAGACAGAGGCAAGAGAGGACAGCTTTGCAGCTGTCCCAGCAGCATGGAACCGAAATGTCCTGGCAGAGAACTCGGCAGAGGCACAGGAGACCGCTAAGCCCTCTGCCGGCTCTGATGTCTACGGCTCTCCACCAGGATGGCAGACAGTTTCCGCTCAGAGACTGCGGCTTTTCCACGAGCTAGACGGCTTCCCGGTAGGTTCTGCTGAGTACCTCCAGGATAGCCGGATGAAGGACAAGGCTGTCCTCATGTCCAGGCGATCGATCCGCACCAGCCAGAAGGTTCACAACTGGGCACAGGCGGTGTCCTCCGCCGAGCAGGCGGGTGCATGCGCCGTCATTGTCTTCAACGACCTTGACGCCATGGAGCCCTTCCGGATGGGACTCTTCGGGGAAAAGCTGCCTTCCATACCCGCTTTCATGATCAGCGGGAAGGACGGAGCGATCCTTGGAACAAAGTCGCGGGACTCGGAGGTGCTCATCGTCAGGCCGGAATCAGCCTTTTCCACCAGCAGCCGGTAACAGAGCACCGTAATGAAGCAAGACACCTGGCAGCTGAGCCGCCAGGTCAGTCTTGACGTCTGCCACCTCCCCGTCTCCACCTCCATGGCCACTTGCAGGTGGACGAGTCGCAGACATTGCTCAGGCTCCGGCTGCGGACCAAACGTGAAGAATTCGTCGCTGCCAGGGTCACAAGATGAGGGAGCCCCTACTGAGACCCGAAATGGATACTTGACAAGGAGACCACGGACAAGGAACCTCTAATTCCAAGAAACACCCCAAATACCTGCATGCCTTGAGCTTATGACAAGCGTCTGTACTTCGAAGCTTTTATTTGTGTTGAAGCCCACATGCAGGAACACCCCATATTCAAAAGCTACATGTGGAACCCTCTGGCCCTTGCGAATCGCGAATATCGGTGCCCGATTTGCCCCGCAGGCTTGGAGTCTCTTGGAAGCCCTCTCGGCACACGGTGAACCCACTGATGATCTGGAGAAGCTGCTTCAGCGAATGAGCGTGCCAGAAAAGCGAGTGTGGCTAACACGCCGGCTGGCAACTTGGCAGCACCGTGTGTTCCCCCACCCCCACACGAGCCTTGAAAAAGCCTAAGACGAGGGGACTCGACCTTTGCAGGGAAGGACTCACTGGACCTTCTGTCAGGTACGTCATCACCGGGCCCAGCAGGCCACGTCAGCAGACGGAGACCTTGCTGAGCTACCCTTGGCCGGGGCCCCTAAAAGGGCGGGGGGAGAGACTGACATCGGGGGAGCCTCTCTCGCTCAGCTTTTTTTGTCGAGTCTTTTGCCCCCAGGCCTTCGTGGAGAGCGACCGGTGGCTTTCAGCAGAGAAACAGCTGGAAGCTCTCCGCCAGCAGTTTACGGAGAAGACCGGGATAGGCAGCGTTGATGTTTGTGGCGAGTTCGAAGTGCGCTTCAGAAGCGAACAAGGAGTCGGTAGTGCTGTGGTGCGGGAGTGGATGGACCTGGTGGCAAGAGATGTTTATCTCCAGCCCAGATTGAGGTTGCTGAGAAGTTATGACCAACGACAGACATTTTGGCCAGATGCTGCAGCCCCCTTCCTGAACAGAGCTTGGCAGATGGACTTTGAAATCCTTGGATCTTTGATCGGCCTTGCACTGTGGCAAAACTGCACGCTGGATTTGCCGCTTCATCCCCATGTATGTGCCTTGCTTTTCGGGTTCCCAAACGACCGATTAACGGCTACACTGGCCGACATGGACGAGGAGCTGTTCCGCCACAAGGTGCAATGGCTTCTTGTCAATCCAATCAACCAGCTCGGTATAGATCTAGCCTTCTCAGACCCGCTCGGGGCAGAGGAAGCAGAAGGCGAGAATGGAGCTGGGAGCAGGGAAAAGCCTGCAGTGGACGGTCCAGCAGCACTGCCAGCCCTGGTCTTTCCGAAGCAGCGCCTGGCTGGAGACGATCGGACTTGTGAGGTGCAGCCTTTTCCCAAAGTTGGATCAGCTGAAGTGGCCCTTTCGGAAGACGCGCAAGTCGTCACGGAGGAAAACAAGGAGGCCTTTGTAGAGTTGCTGCAGGACTGGCGGCTGCAGAATGGCATCAAGCCTCAGGTTCAGGCAATCGCCAAGGGCCTGAGCAAGGTTCTTCAAAAGAATTGCAAAACTGTATAAACCCTACTAAACCACACGCTTTTACCGAAACTGTAAGTCCTTAAGCAAGCCTTCCGCATGCCTCACTGCAGCCAAGGTTCTTCCAGAAGAGCTTCGACAGGAGATGCATAGCTTGCTGACGCCGGTTGAAATAGCACAGCTGCTTTCCGGCCTGGGTGGTGCGCTCTCTGTAGACGATTGGGAGCAGCACACTTCCTACACCCATGGCCTAAGCAAAAGCAGCGACGTCGTAACGTGGTTCTGGCAGGTCGTGAGGGCCTGGGCAGCTTCTGAAGAGGACTTGCTGCCCCAGCTCCTTCAGTTTGTGACCGGAAGCGCACGAGTGCCCGTGGGTGGTTTCAGCGAGCTGGTGGGTTTCAATGGCGCGAAGCATGCCTTCACGCTTTGTGGTGCCAACCACCTTTCGAAGCAGGCACTACCCGTGGCTCACACCTGCATCTGCACGTTGGACATGCCATTCTACGAAGACTTCGAGACATGCCGTTACAAAATGACCCAGATGCTACGTCTGGGAAGGGCTCACTTCGATGAAGGGGCTGGCCAGCCGGAAGGGGCAGAGTGAGTTTCACAGAACATGTCATGTAGCAAAATTTTCCGAAACACTGCGTGCCTCCAAAGTTTCCAGCAGTCAAGCTCGTCTTTTGGCACTCATGGCCATTAGTGCCATTCCATTGGTATACATGCCTTAGCAATCCTTAGTGTGCATAGCCCCATCAATTGTCAGGAGCAGAGTGCACATGCAGAGCCTGGCACCGATCTTCTCACCCTTTCGACGGTGTGGGCTGCGCCCATCCCATCGGACAAGTGAAGTTCGGAGCAGCACTGCAAAGCCTCAAAGTGCATTGAGAAGACCACACAAATCTAACAAGCTTCTGGCCGTTCGGCCACCATGCTACGTGCGGTGTACGGCGTATGGTAAACTGCGTCGGTTACAGCAGTAGTATCGTAGACGTTTCAGAAGGGCTGCAACAACAGCCACCATGTCTTGAACCCGACAAGCAGTCAACAGCAATTGCATAATTGTGCCGGCTAGTGGCGAAAGCTGTTGCTCAAACTTAGCACAGTGCAAGGACAGCAGCCCTGCCATCCTAAGGACCAGTCCAGGTAGCAGTTGAAGGGCCCAAGTCGATGTTAAGTCTACTGCTTGCTGCGAGGTTGACTTCGCCCAGGGAAGAAATTGTTCGGAAGACAGTTCCTCTACCCCGTGCAGATTATCATTCCTAGGGTGTTTTGGCCCGTGTTTGCGAGCCTAGTTGCCAGTAAGTACAGGATACTGTACCATGGTTTGTGGGCAATGTGGGAGCAGGCCCGTTGGTGTAAGAGCAGGGAAAGGAGTCACGCCATTAGAAGCTTCTGCAACGCCAGGCATTTGCAAGTCCGTCTCTGAGATTCTGCACATTGGCATGTACGGCCGGGGATGGTTGTAATTGCAATGCCAGGATCGCCTCATCTCATGAGTACTGATGCTGACAAGGTATTAGCTCCGGCACGCAGCTTAGGTTTTCATACTGGGGCACTCTTTGCACTTGCGACTCGAGCTCGCATCTTAGAGCCACTACTCCACTGACACGCATGCACCTGTGCACTTAGTTCTTGTGGAGATTTAGCCTGGATTGAGGCAGTTGCCCATGGAACGTGTTCTACAGGAGGCGAGTTGGCCAAAGCACTAGTAGTCTGCATAATACAGTGGCCTAAATGAATTGCCAATGCTATTCCATGCAGCTTCCTTAGTATAACACGACTACTCTCTGGAACGTAGCCGAAAAGCCTCTTCCTATATTTCTCAGATCCGATATGGAGGTTGCTGAGATGGAAAACCTGGAACAGCGGTTCTCCGTGAACGATCAGGTCTCCTGGCAGGGTTCATCAGGAGTTGTACGAAGTCCCATTACTATGCAGCAGAGAACCCTACGCCCTCCGCCCTCGTCGAATTGCTGGGCCCCCATCGTGTGTTTGTCATGTGGCTGCAAATCTCGATTGGTACCTCTTCGATTGCTACGCAAGGCCATCAACGAGCTTGTGGATGCCTTGCTTGAGGAGCCGGAAGTTCAGGCAATATTGGTGCCAGATCTGGTAGAAGCAGAGGTGTACCGATATGCGTTGCACCGCATTCTGTGCATTGCGCAGTTTATGCTGTCGCAGCTGCAGATACGGTTATTTGGAACTCAAGTACGTCTGGGCCTCTATGCAGACCACTCCCAAGCACCAGGAGCGGATAAGAAGGCCGAAGACGGACTCCCCCTGATTGCCGTAAGAGAGAAGGACGTGCAATCTGTCTTGGCGCGAATAGAGGATGAACAGCTCCGCATAGAGAGGGAGCTCGGATTGCGGCGTGGTGATGTGCACTTGAGGCGGAGCTCCTTGGACGGCCCTGCACTTCTGACGCACGTGGACCTTGGCGAGACCGAGGACGTCCACGAGTTTACAACAATGGCTGCACAGGACCGACTATCCCGCAGCTTGGCAATCCAGCGAAATGTCTCCGTGCCGATCGAGATTGCTTTCCAGATGGTCTCAGATGTGAACGCTTATCCCCAGTGGATGCCATTTTGCACCTCGGCCTTCGTCACCTCCAAAGAAGAGGCGGAAGGACCAGGAGGTTCAAGCAGCGCGAAGCTGAAGTGTGACGTGGGCTTTGGCCTCGACACTGGAACTGCACTGGGTGCCGTTGGTGACACGATTAAATACCAGGTGAGCCTGCTTCCGCCCACAAGCGACAGTGCTGCAATTACACAAGTCTATCACCAAGAGCCGGGCGACGTGCGCCGGGTCGCCCGAGTAGTGGCTGACACCGTGGACGGGTTCCGCTATGGCAGACGGCTTGTTTATGACAGACCCTCAGACCCTGTCGAATTCCTGCAAGACATCACACACGGACATGACACTCGCATGCCACGTGTGCAGTCAAGCTGAGGATTGGAGATTCATCGAGTTTGCACGCGGACATACGGATGTCAGACTGGACATGTTCTTTCAGGCCAATGCCTCAAGACATATTGCAGGTTACCAGGGGAGATTCCTGTGTCGCAAGGCGCGCAACTTCTTCTTCCTCCCAATTTGGGACAGCATGCAGGTGGGCTTTGGAATGCGGTGACATGTTTGGTGGAGCCCCATGCAAGGCCAACTGTTGCCGAATAATTCCATTTTGTTCGACCACCCTTCTTGCCTGAGACTGCCGTCGAGGCCAGCATAACATCAGTCATGATGCGGGAGTTCCAGAAGCGAGCTGTCCGACGCCTACGGCTGTTGGATGGCTCTGGATGCTAGTGGCACGCACTTCCGTCTTCATGTCGTGTTCGCGTCCTGTGTCCTGAGGTGCAACTGCAGAGCTCAAGGACCTCGCCTCCATCAGGCCCGACGAAGTCACCGAGATTCCTCCTCTAAAAAGCCAGTTGACCTGGCTTTCTATGCTTGGACTTGCAAGAGTTGACCCCGTGATGATCGCAGAGGTAGTAGCATCAATGCCTGTGGGCCGCAGGTCAGAGACGCCATCGGTGAAGGGAGGAGTCTAAGGTTTTGCAGACTCCAAATCATTTAATCGCGTGAGCCTTGCCAACCGTCCGAAATGGGGTTGGCATGGCGAGACCGCAAGGAGGGTCTTGGCCCCTGCCAGTGAAGATTGCTTTTAAGAATCTTTACTGATGTTTAAAATTTAAATGCAGTGGTCGGAGCCGCAGGACGAAGTCGAGTAGGATTTGTCTGCCAAGGGTTAGTGGAATCAGGTCTGAGCTCGCCCACTGCTTTGTTTCATCTCCTGATGTGTCCGTTCGAGTGGCAGCGAAGAGATCTTCTTTAGGGATGTGCCCAAAGTACTATAGCAATGCCTAACGTCAGCGTCAGTAGTCGCAGCAAGCTGGTCTCGGCAAAGCCAACTCATAGTAAATCACGACCGTGCATGACTTGAACATGGAGCTTAAGCTGCTCGTAGCATCGTAGCTCACACTGTGGACATGTTGCCTCGTAGCGCAGGTGCTCGAGAGCGGAGAGTGCCTCTCCTTTCGATTCAAGGCAGGCATCAGAACATGAGTAAGTCATGTTAGGGCTGTTAGGGTGCATGCCAGGATCGCTCAGATGATACTTCCCCTGCACACTCCGTCTGAACACAGCATGTGGCTTTGGTTGCCTATCGAACTGCTCGAGTGTTCACTATCTCTTTCTACACAACAAGCATGAAGACGAACACAACCTTTCGCATAGGACGTGGCGGAGCGTGAGAATTTTGCCATGTGCTTGCAGATCATTGTCGCACCTTGTCCTGGTGGAGTCACTCCTGGTCTTGTACCGCGAAGATTCATGACATGTTCCATGCCAATGCGGTGGCGCAATGTTCTGTGAACCCCAAGTTGCAATTTCATTATGCCTGAAGTCCAAGGACGGCCACCAGTGAATTGCGGCATCAGCCAGATGCATCTAATGCTGACGCACCGCGTTGTAAGTTGCAGACGTACAGAAAGCTGATGACCTTGACATTCCGCTCCATGCAAACAAACGACCCTTGCCATGATGGTGTTGCTTCCTGGCTCATCACAAATCCTCCTTGCTCGTTTCAAACGTGGCAAATGCTTATCGGTACACGTTGGACGGGAGGAATGGGACGTCATTGTTTCGTCTTAGTGCGAAGTGCACTTGAGTTTGAACCCTTCTCGGCTAAGCCGACCTCAAGGCATAGGCACGTCCAAAGTATGATTTGTGTCAGGCATGCCTGTCATCTCGGTCAGAACAAAGCGCCGCTTCAGCATTGATTTTCAGTGAGCATGGTTGCAACCATTCGCTCGGATGGTATCTAGATTTGGGCCTTGCAGTGCATGTGCACATGCAGAATTCTTCTCTGCCAACGAATAGACACGTGTTCATGGATTGGAGCTCTATCCGGCATATCCTCCTCGCGCTCGTGTGGACGACAGAATGCTGGCACGACGTAGTACTGGGACACGACGAGGGGACAAGCAGACGATGTGCTCGTAACAAAAGCTGGATGCCCCGGCGAAATATCAAGGAAGCAAGATCGTCGGGAAAACGAACAGATACCAAATGCAACCGAGTAGACGACTCCACGAAGAAAAATGACAGGGCTGAGCTGAACCCATACAAACTCGTCTCAAGCGAACAGGGGGCTGGACGGTCGTCACTCGGGAACATACCACAACAACGACAAATATTGAAAACTTGGAACAATATAAGTGACCCATTGATAATCTAAGCAACGAAATATATGAAATATGGACTATATTAGAATTAAAATTCGAATTATGATTGAAAACGATCTTTATTTTATGATTTGGAAAATTATCTTGATATCTTTGATTGATGATATAAATTCTAGAGATTTTATTCCTGACTATACATTATATAATAATATCGAATTTTACGAAACATATATATTTTACTGTTTGATTATTTTCAAAAAATTATGAAGACTATGAAAAAGAACTCTATTATTATTTTTAATAAATATATTTTTTTATATTTCTGTTAAATCTATTTTTCTTATTTATATGATAATTGATTTAGAGTTTGTCATGAAATAATAATGCGTTTTTATTATTTCTATTTATTTATTTGTTTGTTATATATTTAGATTTCTTTGTCTAAGCTATTTTCTGATAAATATATTATTGATAAAATGATTTATATTTATTTTTTGTCGTGAGGGGGAAATCGCGGATTTCTATTTTGATATATTTATATAAAAGAAATTTGATAAGAAATATATTTTGTATATAAATATATATTTATTTATTTAAGGTTCTTATGAGTAATATAAAAAAGAATTATTAATAAAATTCTTAATTATTTTAAGGTTATTTAGAAATTACAATAAATAGAAATGAAAACAAGAAATCATTTTAAAATTTGGATTTAGAAAAAAATTCTTTATAATTTCTTTATTTCAAAATTTTCAAAATAAATTTGAAAATTTCTTTATAGAATTTTGTTAGAAATTATAAAAATTTCCAAAAAATAATACGAATTTCGTTAATTATTCGTGAAATAGATAAAATAGCATCTATTAAAGAAAGCCTTAATTAAATTTAATTAGCACCGAATATTTGTGATATTACACAAGAAGCATAAATAATATATATAATAAATATTAATTATAATAGAAAAAAAGATCGTATAAATAAGTTTTACAGAATATTTTTCCATATTATCCTAAAGTTGTCGCGAAATATAGATAAACTCATGGGAAGCCTTTACATTTTTTTCTATCATACACTCCCACAAGATAATTAATATATATGTCGCCAAAATTCACAACCATATTTAATAATATAAAAGACTTAGAAACAAAAGAGTTTTATAAAACTTCACTAGGATTTATTAGATATTAATAGAGCTTAACAAATTTTAATAAGGTCTAATCGTGTGGGAATACTTACCTATTATAATATAGACTTCATATTCGTACAAATATCAGCAAATAATAACGGAAATTATTAGTGCAAAAGAAATAAAAACGTATTATAAGATATAATAATTTTTGGTATCGTTTACTATAAATAGTAAAAATAAAAACGACATTTAAAAATACGAACGAAAAAAATAAATCACCCTAAATCAGAAAATTAGAATACAACAAAATACTCCAATAAAATTTTAATAAGCAAAAAAATACAAAAAATATATTTAAATATAAATCAAAAACTCGGAAATAAATGTTCGTATAAATAACAATATAACCAGAAATAGAAATTAATAGAATATTTCTTTTCGAGCTAATAATTATAGAAATTATCCATATTATTTTAAAATAATGTCTCTTTAATAAAAACGAATATATATATCTTTTTTTTTTTAATATTAAAAAAATAAATCCATATAAATTTTTATCAAAATCTTATTACCTATTATATATAATAACGAAAAAGAATAAAGTATTTTATCATTAAACTATTTATGAAAAGATAAATAGCCAATCAATCTCATATAAGCATAATAAAGAGAAATCATCTTCTCAAGACAGATAAATAGAAATAACAAAGATAAGAGACAATCAAAGATAAATAGAAGACAAACAAACCGAGACAAAATACAGACCGAGACAAACACCGGCATAGACACAAATGGAAACAGACACAAACAATCCAACCCCAATAAACAGACACAGATAGACAGACAAACAAACAAACAGGCCTGCCTGCCTGCCTGCCTGCC